GAATTTCCTACAATCAGGCGAAAAGCAGCAACCAGCAATGTGACACTAAACTTTTAACCATAATAAATAAGTGGGAGATACGTGCTTAAATTTATTTACGATACTCTGCTCTTGCTTTATTACTACTCCAGGTCAATAGTGTGTCAAACTTTATTAAAGACTCAACTATGGCTAACATTCTCTAAGTTCTTTAATGCAGGCAGTCAAGGGTCTGTGGAATCGTTCAGTGATGTTTGTAAGCCGCAACAGTCATGCAATCCTCTTGAACCAGGAACTAGAAGCAGAATCAATAGTCTCAAACAAAATGTTCTATTTCAAATTAGGTAGTACAACGCAATGGTGGCGCAAGCGTGTATATATAATATACATATATATATAATACTTTGTTATATATATATATATCTGGTTCTCGCACATCATGTTAGGAACAGCGTACAATATAACTCATTAGATCTTGTTTCTTATATCGAGTTCTCGATGCGTATATAAGCAGCATTTTTATTTTTGACCTGCCACACTAGTTAACGCCTTCCTCTTCAAATGCCGATTAAATTTACGATATGGGCAGTCAAATCCAGACCAACATGTGCTCGTATTTACACGTACCTTGCCAAGTTAGTTTGGGTCAGCAAGGCCACGTTGCATACCTTAACCACCACCAGTTGTGAGGCAGGGCAATGCGGGAATTGTGAAGTCCAGTGTAGTGTAGCTAATCTGTTGAATTTCTTCTCATCACTTAAAATCCAAATGAAAAATATGACTAATGGTTAATAGAATAACAAATAGCAAACAAATACACAAACCACCAACACATTAATATTGAATTATGAATTACATTACTAAAGTTACAAAAAAAAGTAATCAATGGTTAAAATCTATTTAAATAATATAAATATAGTAATCAATAAGCTTAATAATACCTATTTATTAATTAGCCTATTATAATACCTATTATTATTAATGATACCTATTAGTAATTGATTAGCTCTTGATTTAATCCATATATTAACTATACCATATTAACTGATAAAAGCACACACACAGATACACGCACACACACACACACACACACACACACACCACACACACACACACCACACAGCACCCACGTTGCACAGCACACACACAAACATAGTATATAGTATATTATATCTGATATATATGTATATATATATTAATCAATCGTAAAAGTTCTACTCCCATTATTTTGATACTAATTTAGTAAGTAATATAAAGTCCTTAGGCCTATATTTATGCATGTTAATATGACAACCGTAAAATTGCGGATGGAGATATTACGCAATGTCACCAATACTCATGTGTTTTCTATCAATTTCTAGAAATCGGCTCTCCGCATAAATACATTCGTGACTATTCCTAAAGCATAGACTAAGATAGGCAATCAAAATTCACAACGACGCAAGCATGCAATTATTGTTGGTAGAGGTACGCGATTAAGAAATGATAGTTTCTCGCTATTATTACGCATAGGGAAATTCCTTACTACCTGGTTGCCTTTACATTGGGACCGTTGCTGAGTGTCGCTGGGCACACAGACCGTGATGTCTGAAAGAGAAACGGTCGCCGCAAAAATATTACTTAGCCGTAAATCGATAGCGTCTGACAATAGCCTTGCATCATTATTAAGCAACCTTCATTGAGCGGTCACACCCATTCGCATACAAATATACACGCACAACACGTAGCGTACACACGCTCGCTACGCACGCACGTCACGCACGGCACGCACGCAAACGCATGCCGCACCAGTATACACCACACAACACAACACGCACATCCACACACACCACACACGACAACCACACACACACACGCACACAACTACGTACCACACACATCACACGACACACACACACACACACACACACGCACACAGGCACCTGTACATGTCTCGTAAACGCCCTACCTGTGCCAGCCCCTTGATTCATTGATCGTTACAGTCGTGAATTGTTCCATGAATCTTGACGCTCCACTATCTCGACGATAGAGAACTGCTCCTTGCTTCTTCTCTAGCGTAACGGTGCAGTCATAGGTGGGGCCTGCGTGAAAACATAGATTACATGAAAATAATATATCCGTAAACAATTAATTAATTTTTAATTAAATGCGATTACGCTCATTGATATGCTACGGGAATAGCGATGCAATTCTTGTATTGTGTCTATACGACTAACTGAACACTAGTATTTGCTTACGTTTGAGTTACAGCGTGGTGTATACCTCGCTAACTGAATGAGCATATTAACTAATATACCGACGAGAGCGGTTGAAGCTGAATTTGTCGGATGGCTGGCGTGAACGTCCGAGCCCGCGATAAGTGGCAGATCGCTTGATTTCAGCACACACACCCCCCTGTCCACTCGGCAAGACAAACGTATCTCGCTAGTTGATGCTGGGAAAACGAAGAAATTGCTGAAGGCAAAGTCTGTCATTAATGCTTACTACATGATTTCTTTTTATTCTACATGGAAAGTGGACAGCTGATTGAAGAGTTATCGCAAAAGCATTCGAGATTATTTTTTCGAGATATTTCTGGGAGAGAAAAAGGAGGCCAAAAATACCATTAATAACTAGATGAAGTGTTTAAATAAAGACTATTATCGGCTGTATCAGAAAATTAATAAATTGCAAGATCAAACATTATCTCAATTTTTTTAAGATATTATTTAACCCTGGTTGTATCTGATTAGTGCTAACAAAACCTATACCTAGTGTGGTACGCTAAAAACCACGCACATTATTAAGAGTTTAGAAAAGACATTTACATGTAATACTCGCCTATTGAATATAATCTTTAGATGGTAATGAAAATATTAAGTTAAGTTTTAGAAATATCATTATGAAGCAGTAAGCCTATAGTGTTTATCAACGGAATACTTATATTTTATACCGATATCATATCATATTGAAACTGGAACTTGTACTTAACTGGGAAGCAAGTGAGGGAAAGACTTGCTGCCAAAAAGGAGAAGAATGTTCCATCCTTCTCAAACAAAATAATAATAATTATATAGTCGACAAGTGTCGTGGAGAACGCTTTTACAAGTAGTGAAACGCCAAAAAAAAAAAAAAAAAAAAAAAAAAAAAAAAAAAAAAAAAAAAAAAAAAAAAAAAAAAAAAAAATCGAAAAAATAAGAAAAAGTAAAAAAAAAAAAAAAAGAAAAAACAAAAAAAAAAAACAAAAAAAAAAAAAAAAAAAAAAAAAAAAAAAAAAAAAAAAACTATTAGCGTGAAAATTCAAAACATGCACGTCTGCGGGGTTCGCGTACAAATTAATAATGACATTCGACATTAATAATTAGAGGGGACAGTAGCCTCTAGGATTTTACTTGAGCATACAACTCGTACTTACTGTATAAGAAACAAATCGTCTATATCCGCACATGTATTTGTCACAGATAGCTTAATTAATTATTTACACGTCACGCTGGCGAAAATTTGAACGGCGAGCCATGACACCCCCGCCCCGACGTGCTGCACCCTGAAAAAGTTGCCGTATTTGCATTTTTATTTTTGCAAGGAAATGAGCCGGAGGGTTAATTCACAAAAGTGGCAATTATATTTATACTGTAAATGGCTATTTAACCGAAGCGATAATTCATTTAGGGCAAGATTTATATTCATGTTATAAGCTGAAACTATATGTCGTTTTATAAAGATATTAAATGCCTTTTTGCTTTTAAATGAAATAAATAAGAAATACCCTCGTCTGTAGCCTTAGGCTGGAAAGTGGTTTTGCGCTTAACTTGTCAGATCGTGGCGCTTTTGAGTGGCGCTCACCGTCCCGTTGTAATCAAACGTAGTCGTTAGTTTAAAAACATTAAAAAAAATATTTTCTAATGGCGATTGAAGCATGAAACTTTTTATGTAGGCGCAATATAACATAAATTAGCTGAAAATAACGCCTAGGATAGCTAGAGGCTACTGTTCCTTTAAACAGATCTGGAAATAAATTGATGGGAATATCTTAGTGATTTATTCAAAATACCATATTCGCGGAGCGTGTTTCGCAAGATGGAATGGCGCCACTGACGAGCGTAATTTGCGTATCTTCTAATGAGAACACAAGGAGGGGAACACGCTGCCTAACGCTCCAGATATCGCCCAGTTAGCCAATGGTATCTGTTGTATGTGCTCCAGTCTCGGGAATGCCGGCATTGCATGCTCCTGACTCCTCTTAAACGAGCAGCTTCTTCTCCGGCTCTCCTTCACAGTCAGTTCACCGAATGTAATGTGGCGCAATACCTCATATTGTGGGTTTTCTTTGCTATAGATAGAATGTGGAGGGCGTGTAAATGTTTTTTTATAGCATTCAAGCAATTGCAATTGTCTAAGTAATATACAATGGTAAGTACAAAATTTTCATAAAACATACCTGTATTTATTTAAAAGCGTTGAAGGTAGCTAGGGCTCCATGGTTCTCTAGGCAACAACAATCTGGAAACGCACAGAAAGTCGTTGTCTATCGAATGTATGAGAACTTCCCAGAAAAAGCGGAAATAATTGTTTCCACAGGAAGGGCGTAACATGTAACTCATCCGACATTTGTCATCGACAGCTCTCATTATTAGTCTCATTATTACCCGACATAAGTACCATACCGACATAGTATGGGATAACTTAGCACACTTCGAAGCGGGCCTGGCCCACCTCCATTCGTGCGGCTAACTTAGACTTCGTCGTAGACTAGCGCGTATTTAGCCCGGGATAGCGTGTACATACTGCAAATATTTAGCGCGCGCCTGGTCCGGACTAGCTTGATGTACGATCAATTTTGCAGGCTGTACGGGGTATCAGTGAAGGTAAATTATTCCGTTATATTTTCGTGTTAAAGATAGCACATACCGCATTATGATTGCATACACTTGTATAGCATTAACCAATTTCTGATTATATCGAATGGACAAACAGAAACAAAGACCCCCCTTCAAATGTATCAATATCCCCAGTTATCTATCTAACCAGGTATGGCTCTTAGAATGATAAAAACTGAAAATGACACACCTCCAATGATAGCAATCATTTTGTTGATTGCAGAGTCAGGAGGAGTGCAGGAAATAGAGACAGACGCTAAAGGTGAATGTAGCCTAGCAGACGAATCAGCTTTAGAACTGGGCAACATTGGCATACAGGTAAATCAACTAAATCTGTGGGGATACTTATCTGTTTCATTACAGATGCAAATAACGAAAAGTGGTAATCTACAATAATTCGATATCGCATTTTCATTAAGCTTTACATTAGCACATGAATAGTCTCTTTTCATTTCTATGTACGCAGCTAGAAACTGAAACGCCTACATTTTGTACAGGTCGAAAAATCGTTCTCTGACGCGCGAGATATAGAGTTTGCCTTGAAAGACGGACAGATCTACCTGCTGCAAGCTCGACCAATCACGTCCCTCAACATGGAGTCAGAATACGAGCTGATGCATGAGCAGGATTCACCGCTGTTAATTGATGATGAACTGTATACAAACGCGAATACCGGGTAAATAGTTTTATAGTCGCTTGGACTTGTATCCCTCTTGTCGTTGCCTTTCTTCAACTCTAGTACATAGTCCCCTATTACTACCAATACTACTAGAATAACCCTTTCTAGAAACTATCGTTCTTTAATGCTGAGAGTACAAGTACCACGCGAACGAGATCTCTCAGCTATTCCCAGTGTGAGTGACAATTCTACTACGTGCCAAACCTGATATCGGAAAAAATAATTATTGTCGTTTGACGAAAAGGTCACTCGTCCTCTATTCTTAACGGAATTTGTTTCGCTACATATAAGCTTTCGTCTTTGTTCATTACCATCTATTTCGTTGTATGAACCGCAGGGAGATGATGCCTCAGGCGATGACACCTCTCACACTAGACGCATTTGTCACTAACCTTGCCGGGATGGGACAGGTGGTTATTATTCGATTTGCAGCAGCAGCAGCAGTAGCAGAGAACAATAGGCTAGAATAGAGAACACTGATTACGAGACTAATTTATATGTCGTGAAACCACGCACGACCATGTCTGTTATCTATGGTCTATGCATCACCCAAGATGTAAGACGTGTAGACGCTGTAGGTATAAGCAATGAGTCATGATTGCGTACATAGATCAACGCTAGGTATAAACAATGAGTCGTGATATAGTGCGTATATAGATCAACGCTAGGTGTAAACAATGAGTCATGATATAGTGCGTATATAGATCAACACTAGGTATAAACGATGAGTCATGATATAGTGCGTATATAGATCAACGCTAGGTGTAAGCGATGAGTCGTGATATAGTGCGTATATAGATCAGGTTCCATTCCTCGACTCCGAGCACCGTTCCCACACGTTGACATCTTACCGTTTTTTTTCTGATTTAACCATGAAAAGTAACTGCGGTGATGCCCGGTGAGAAATGATGCCCAACGAAGCTGGACAGACGCACACGCGCACGCGCAAACGCACGTTGGTTATACTCACGTACACGCACCTACGTATATAGGTAGACTCACACGCATGCAGGCACGCGTACATACAGACAGCCAGGCACACACATATACCGCTGAGATGAGAAGTACTGCGTTAAGTTTTACAAAGAAATTGAACCATCTCGTGTAGTCTAGATTCACTGAGAAGTTCATCGCGATGATTATATCACTTTGTTATAAAATTATTAAATATATGAACTACTCAAAAACTGTATATCCAAGATGTATTCGAAAATTAACATGTGTATATTTAAGCGTATTATCTGTATGTGTGATTTCTAGATCATGCGGTGGCCATCGGGAATTTCTCAGGATACGTACATGGACGTGTTCGGATCAACCTTCTGCAAACATGTTTTTCTGAACATGTACAGCGTAAGTATGGCAATAACCATTACTGGATCTAACACACAAAAACTTACAAAACTAGCACAGATAGTAGCAAAACCGAGACGATTTAGCTTGAAAAAATATTTAACGATATGTTCGCTGATGTCGCTTAGTACAGAGTAATTTCACATTTACATATTAGCAACAATACGTCAACAAGTATAAGGTACAGAATGTATTTCTCATATTAATTATTCGGTCACAGATTTTCCGAAGGTGCAAAAATCATAGAAATATCAGATATTGTTTATCTGCTCTTCCGGCAATGATGAATGTTCATTTGTATCCACGCTCACATAATCGTATTATTAAATATTTACTGATAATTTGATAAACTAAAGAACTACTCCACGGCCCTGACAATTCATTGCTCGAAATTCGTCGTTAAAAAAATAATAAAAGGAATTTAGAAATTCTAAAGAATTAATTTTTTTATAGGGAATGTACTACGCGAATGAGTACACAATGGGATCGGATACAAAAGGCATGAAGAATACTATAGATATTTTACTGTTTGGAGGCTGCACAGGAGACGAATACTTGGAAGGAATTCACAAGCGCTACCGAACCACCTATGTCCCGTGGTACAGAAAGTTTTTAGGAGTTCTCTGTTTGTATACAGTAAGTATACCTACACATCCGGTTCTTGGTTTTGCTTATACGTTTACTTTGTTTGTTTACTTTACGATTTACTTAAATTTTATTAAACGGTTTATTTACTTATTTTTCTTTACGTTTATCTTTGCTATGTGAGTGCGTTAGTTATGTATTGTATACCTTGCGTGCTTATCGGATGTGACCTTCGTTACTAGGACGCATTCAGCACTAAGCGCAACCTAAAGCGAAGTAACACCATTGTTAGAACCATTAGCACGGACTTCAACACCACTGACCCACTCACGTTACATCGCCAAATTGAGGACTTATTAAGGATAAGTTCTGGGGTGCGTACTGGAGTTGATCGAATGTTATTACACAGTGAAAGGACTATAGTTATACATCATATCTCGACACGCTTTTTCCATCTCTTTTCCTCTCCGTCACCATCGCATTAATTTCTTTTCAGCAATTGAATATTAATTATTTTATCTATAGTAGACCCCCTATATACTTGGAACTGTACGAAATTATCCATCTTTCTAACGGCTAATGAAGATTTCAATATGTTACAGGCCTGGTACAGCCACATTCAAGCCACGAATGCATCTAACATAGCGAGTCATATTGTCACACAAGTTGTGAAGAAGAAATACTCAGGTACACTATCGGCACAGTACTACACTCAGGATCATCTTTATTTATGCGTTGTTAAACGTCTGTCCTGAGTCTACTTCAATAATAACCATAATAATTATCTGCTTAAGTCATCTTGTCGCAAGACCGTGATTCCCCGTACTAAAAAAATGCAGACACTAATGCAATGAATATCACATTTGTTTGCGGTGTTCTCTCAAATAATGCATAGAGTGCACAACATGCGTTTATATTCTTTAAGAAAGCTGCTAATTGATTTTATATTTTACCATAATTTTCACTACGCGGTTATCAAAACATAAAATACTCATCAACCACATGTTCGGTTACAGAACACTCCGAAGTGATGTCAGATGTTGCTTTGCTGCTATCTACCTGCACCGACGTAATCAGTGCAGACGTTCCAGCTGCCCTCCGAAAGATGGCGCTAGCAGTAGTAGACGGCGGCAAAGCGGAGGTTTTCCAGTCACTGACACCTGAGGAGGCGGTTGATTGGCTCAGATCAGACGAGAGCGGCAAATTGAAGCAGGATTTTGCCACATTCATCGAGATTCACGGACATAGATGCGTGCGCGAGGTAACAGTATTTTTTTGTTTTTATTCGACCAATTAAGTCGTTTTAAATTCTTCCAAGCAAAATCTAATTGGCGAGGGATACTAAAACGAATGCTAATAATTGTACCGCAAATGTTATATGTTGGTTCATGCTATTTCAATGAAAAAACGGATGGAAAAACCACGTTCATATTTTTTTGATTAATTGCTTAATGAAATTCAGTAAAGTAAAATAATAATGTACTTCGTTTCCTTGGTTTATACTGAGAAAACTCCCGAGGAGTCGTATATAAATTTATTTATCTAGTAGGCAAAAAGAATACTTCGAAATGCGTTCGGAATAGTTTGTTTCTCATTTACTCTTCATTATCTACTCTGTTTTTATAAGTCGGAACTCTCAGAAAAAACGTGGGCAATGGAGCCAGCAAAAGTTGTACGAACCATACAGGTGAGTGAAATGGCTGACGTCACTACAACACGTAAAACCGCCATGATCCGTCTCCGTTGATATCACTCACGTGTGATTCATGTATTGATGACAATATACATAATGTTGGACTTAACAATAACATTAGGAGTACTACCCTGATAACGTGTAATAAACAATTTAGTGCATGAATTTGTGTTTGATATATGGTGTTATATGATATATAATATATTCTATGTAATATCTCTCTCTCTCTCTCTCTCTCTCTCTCTCTCTCTCTCTCTCTCTCTCTCTCTCTCTTCTATAGATATATATATATATATATATATATATATAGTATATATATATATATATATATATATATATGTATATATATATATAGGTTAACCGTGTTTTAACGCCTTCATTGTCCGTTGACATGGATCTTAGGCTTATTCTCGTTATTATGCTTATATTTTCTCTTTTGTTTGTCTTTATTAGATTTATGATCTTAACAAATTGTATTTTATAATAATTTATTTTTAATATGCAACAAGGATTATGACGAAATCTGAAATCATCAGTTGAGGGAAACAAAAAAGCAAATGACAGAAGATGAAGCGCTTGATAACATTAAATCCACGATTGGTCCCATCAAAAAGTGAGTATAAATACAAGAATTTATTATCATGTAATCCGTGTATTACCATAATAACGGAGATGTTAAATGCACATAAAGATATCTTGGCGCCACGTAGCTCAGCTTAGCCTAAACTTTACACATCTCTTAGCTCAGCTACAGAGATTTTAAATGGCATGTAATAAACAAACAGATTAATTAAATCATGATTATATTTATTTTCGACAGAAAAATCCTACGATTCCTCTTACCGTATGCACGAGCCGCAGTTGGCTTTCGGGAAATGGAAAAAGTTTGGCATCAAATCCATGACATTTTGCGTCAAGCATACATTAGACTGGCTCAGCTGCTGTGTGAACGAGGTGCTTTTTTATGTCTTTTTTTATTTACTCGTGTATTTATTGATGCTTTTGTTTGTGCTCGTCTACTGTGTTCAACATCTAGGTGTAGCGTGTACGACTTTTCCGTCTATGACTAACAACTAACAAGAGTCATTGCAATTTGCAATTCCGCGGCATTTTCGCGTTCCATAGTTGCAGCCAAATCATTATACTGACAATGATCTTACAAGGGCGTTGGAGCTGTTTTGTCACCGTATTATTTATTGCATAATTTATTTGATAAATTAGGGCCGTCTACCGGAAAAGGAATTAATCTTTTACCTCAAACACGATGAAATAGCAGAGCTTATAAAAACCCGATCCGCCAGACTCATCAACAAGTTAGTCAAGTTTACGTAAAAATATCAACCATAATTACCTAGTTACTTTATCATTGATAGTTCCATAATAGTACGTATGAGTTTTACCCATCATATGTATTTGAAAATGCGTACTTGAAACCATATATTGAAAGATTCGTCATGCATACAGTACTTAGTAAATATAATAATTTGCTAATAATTTCATACTTGAATTAGACGTTTCTTTTACTGTTTCAGAGCATTTCGGCTAAGAAAGATGATGCCAGCCCTGATGGCACTGGAGTTCCAAGAGCTTATCACGGGCTATCCAACGCCGGTAAGCTACAATCAGACTACTCACTCATATACAATACGAATACGCTCACGTGCGCACAAGCAAACAAACATACACGCGCCTGTACGCACGCATACACCACCGTGCATGTATATACTCAGACACATACATACTCCACGATCGTACATCTACGTGCATGCAAATCTGCACAAATACGTTCAGTATATAGAACAAAATGTGTATAGGTGATTTCCCATTGGTCCGTAATTCGCAAATTGTTCTCCGCCAAAGCAATCGATAATTGAATCCAATTTTTAAAACTCCCCTAACTTGAATTTTTCAGATCGAAGATGGTGACACGATAGACGTTCCTACAAACAGGGAGCTGAAAGGTGATTCATTGCTGTCGCGTTCAGGATACCACGAACTATATATCTTTTAATGAACAGAACACATTTATTTAACAAGCCACACGATAACACAACAGTTCACACAGAACCGCGATAATGAATCACAAGTCGCTTTCAGTTTGGATTTCTAAAACCTTTCCCGTTGGCTCTAACACTATATTACTTCATATAGTACCGAATAGTATCGTGACATCTCCCTCCTTTTGAGATTATCTGTTACCCAACTGAATGTAGAAGCATTTTCTTAAACATATCTGAGAATTGAATAATACATCATAATAATACAACCGTTTCTTTCTCCCTGGTCACGCAATACTTCACTATGCATTAACTCAATAAACTTCCACAAAGCACTGACCAGTTACTTTAACCACACTACTCGCTACCAATAATCATTTATCCATATCATCCCGAAAACGCAACGGCTTGCGCACTACCCGACCGCTTGTCATGGCCGGGTGAATGTGATTCCACATCCATCTCGTGTGCGTTAATCTTCTGCGAGTCTTAAGTTCGTTCACCAGAAAGATGCACTGTCTCTAACATTGGTGTATCCTGGATTCCACAGGAACTGCCACATCATCACCAAGGCTGACCTTCAGATGTCTTGCGATTTCGGCGCATTGTTGCCGAACCATCGGTAGTCACTATGTATGATCGTGGGGTAGTCCGCTTGACTCACAACCACTCCCGGTGTTTTCCCATCCCTCCTCCTGTCCAACTTTACTCGTACCATGTCTCCAGGTCAGCTCTGAAGAGATTTCACCGAATGACGTCTGTTGTAAGAACCGACGTGAGCTCGTCTTAGCTTCGATATCTGTCATCTTGACACTCTTAAGATCTGGCCATTTAGGATCTAAATTTCAGTACGGGTTGCATTTGGTACGTATCTGCCGTCCCATCATCAGCTGTGCAAGGCATACACCGCCCGTGGCTGCAATTGGTGTAGCTCTATAAGCTCATTAATGCCAGCAAACACATCCTCTTGGCGGAGATTCGTTTCGCTATTTGCACTCCCCGCTCAGCCTCACCAATTAGCCTGTGGAAGTGTGGGCTAGATGTTGTGTGAATGAAATTGTAATCTCACTGCTGGAACAGCCGGAACTCCGCCGATGTGAACTGAGCCCCGTTATCAGAGACGACCTCAGACTCTGGGGATGCCCCCCATCTTGGCGAATAAGCTCTTGAGCTTACCAATGACTTTGTTTCGACGTGATTTCTGGTAAGTACATCACTTCCAAATACCTAGAGTAATAGTCGATCACGACCAAAATATCTCTTTCTTCCCAACTCACACAAGTCCATCCAACCTTTTGCCAGGGTCTAGCTGGCAATGGAGTAGTGATTAATGGTTCCTTCTGTGTAGGTTTAGCAAAACTGGCAGAGTAAACACCTCTTGTGCTATGTATTGCCTATTCCTGGCCACCACACACAGACATTTTGCACGTTCCCGTACACTTAGTGATACCCTGGTACCTTCATGGATCTTGCTCAGTATATCTCTCTCCACTCGGTAGGGATCAAATACGATTTCGATACAGGAGCAGATTTGCACGGCATAGTTCACCTCTAACCGAGTAAGAATGTCTTTACATCCTCTGGCACCGACTGAATCTCTTCGGCCACACCCACCTTTGTGAGTCCAATCGCCCTCTCTGTAGCGTTGCATCGCGTACTGTCGCTCTTGTTTACCGCTCGACGTTTCTGACTGCTATGGGCCTCTGTTTCGTCAGCGCTGTCCACAAACTGCTGAACCTCCAGAACTGTAATCTGGCAACCTCTATGCTTACTAGTGGTGCTCTGAACAGTGTGTCTGCTACCACAAGCTCCTTACCAGGTGCATATTCTGCTCTCGGAAGGCAAATCGCATGAGACCACATCAACTCTGGCACCTCAGCGGCGTTTTGTCTATGTCCTGTTTTATTGATCAGTGGAACCAATGGCTTATGGTCCCCCTGTCACCAGTTTAAACTCGCTCAGTCCATACAGATACTGTGTGAACTTTTCGCATGCCCACACACACGCCAGGCACCCTTTCTCATCTGAGCATATCTAGCCTCAGCATTTGTCAATGTGCGAGAACAGTATGCACAGGTTAAGAGTCTATCTCCCTGTTGTTGCATTAGATCTCCACCCAAACCAATAACTGCTGGCATCTGCACTGACCAAAGTGCTGTTTAACATCATAGAAATGCCAAGACAGGTGCCATTTGACAACCATATCCTTGACCTTCAAAAACGCCCTGCTTTGTGACACTGAAAAGTTGCGTCAGACTTCAGTAATCAGATATCGGCTTTATAACCGTCGACAGCTCTAGCAAATAATCTTCCCCCCAGTAATATGACCATGCCTTAAACCGTCTAACACCTGCTACATCGGCGTGGTGCGGCGATATCCCAGACTGTACTTTTCCTTGGTCTGGGCTATCCCTTCTTCTGAAGTAATGATGACCAAAAGTACGTTAGCTCTGCTGTCGGAACTTGCATTTCTCCCTGTTGAGTTTCAGTAGACTCACGTATCCGATCCAAGAACATTCTTCAGTCGTCGTCATGTTCTTCGAGTGTGTTCCCATACACTAATGTGCATCATATCGCATAGCACTCCCTGCAGCAGCTCCGTCATCTTACTTTGGAACACCTCTGTGCTGATGTAATCCGCGAATGGGACACGGCGGAAACCAGTACCGGCGATTTAATCTCAGAGTCTAGTGGCATTTGATAAAACCCACTCGACGCATCCAACTTCGAAAACACACGTGCTCCTACCAGCTTAGGGATTATATCATCGAAATTGGCAGTATGAATCGCTCGACGACGGACCTTTTTATTAAAATCCACGCAGATGCGTATATTCCCATTACGTTTAACAACAGGAACCATAGGCGGCGCACCAGTCCTGTCCGCTCAGTAACTGGTTCGATGACCCAACGCCTCACCATATATTCCAGCTCTGTCTTGACCTTGGACAGTATCGGAAATGGCACTCTGCGGGCAGTGTTAGTTTGCCCATTCTAGTGATATTTTACCGGGTCGCACTTTAACAAACCAATATACTAACCAACAATGTTCCATCTATTTCGTTTGACCAGTCGCTTCACTAGCCCATTTTGAAATCCACCTGTCGACCTAACAGATTATTAACCTGTGGGCCCGCTAAGTACGACACACGGAAAAGCTGTAACATTTCACCTATTATGGCTTCTCGCATCCACAAACTGGTCCCTTACATTTCAAGTGTTCTCTGGACTGGACAGTAAGGTGTTTGTCGCCTCACATACTCGGTCTGTTCATGCAAGCCCCACTCGACGCTCTCTTGCTGAGCATGACGGTGAAGTCTGCCCCAGTAATCGATTTTGAAATCTAACTCCGATTACGCAATTTTCAGCTTGCCACTGCCATGGTCATCCCCGACCCTGAGTGATTGATCCTAGTGAATAGCCTATCATAAGCTCTCACACGTCGCACACTGTCTTCGCATGTCGTGACGTCCCCATTGTCTGTTTTGTCCGACAGAACAGCTTGGAAATGTCCCATCGCTTTTTACCTTCCTGCAGCGCTTTGTCCTTGCTGCATCTGTCCCCGCATGTCGACCCACACCTGGTACATGATGTACACATACTGTGTTCGGTTACTTGTTCCCAATAGTACTGCCTGCTAATGAATTCCTTCACCGTAGTAACCGCTTTACTCTGCTGCTGAAACTTTTGCTTAAAAGTCGTACCCACTTCCTCGCAGACTCTCCTAGCTCATGGCTCTGACCCGTTACTTGTGCCTCTCACCTCTCTCTGCTGTCTAAGTATTTTGATGCAAATTGCAGGTCAGAATCAGGGGTCATTGTAACTCTCTCTCGACAACTTTTATGTAATGCCACATTAACTAACCTTGTCCTCCGAATGTTCTCCTCTTTGGCACGTGCAACTCACATTCCACTCATGACTGCGTATGAATACATTCGCCGCTCTAGCCCTGTTGTCCTCGCAGGTGGAATTGTGCACGTTTTCGTGAATTATGTTCGCGACGTGGGCACAAAGTGTTCAATCAAATTTTCGTGAGCACCAAAGTCAAAAACCTTTGCTTGTTATATCTTATTTAGTATGAATATTGCTCTGGCGTCTTCCAGAGAGATCAGATAGACAGGCAGCCACTATTGGCACATTCACTATCTTCCATTGTTCAACTTCGGACCGCAATTCTGTATCGTCTGTATCTCTGCCGCTTCACTCGCGGCCCATACTCTGGCCGCGAGAATCAAAGCCTCTTGGAACGGGTTTAGCTTTGCCATAGCGTCCGTCCCCGCGCTTTTTAATGATCACTGTATAGTTTTACTCTGACACCATGTCCGCGTTCAGCGATACACGACACTATATATCTTTTAATGAAAGCAGAACACCTTGCACCTATGGAAACGAATCGTACATCTGGCGTGCATGCAAAATCTGCACAAAAATACGTTCAGTATAATAGGAACAAAACTGTGTAATAGGGTGATTTCCGGCATTGGTCCGTAATCCGACTCGCTTGTTCTGCCGCCAAAGCAATTCGATATAATTGAATCAATTTTTAAAAACTCCGCTAACTGAATTTTCAGATCGAAAGATGGTGACACCGATAACGTTCCCTACAACAGGGGAGCTGAAAGGGTCGCTTCATTTCTGTCGCGTTCAGGATACACGACGAACTATATATCTTTTAATGCAACAGAACACATTTATTTTAAGCAAGCCACACGACTAACACAACCAGTTCACACGAACCGCCGAAATAATGAATCACAAGTCGCGCCTCTCTCCAGTTTGGATTCTAAGAACCTTCCCGGTGGCTCCTAACACTATATTACTCATATAGTACTGAATAGTAATCGTTGACAATTGCTACCATCAATTAATGTTATCAATATTTTCTATTTGAAAGAATTCAAATGTTGATAGCACGTCATTACACCCGGAACTCTCGGCGATAACTTCGATAAAAGCTCAGCATCACTGAACGACATCTTCATTTTC